TTTTTTTTTTTTTTTGGTCAGTTACTTTGGGAGGATATGATGACATCTCGTGGAAGACTTTGCAAATACAGAAAAAGATATATTTGTACTCTGAGAATTTTTATGTTTATCATAATTAGAATAGTGGCTGCCAGATGTTAGTTATATAAATGTCCTGTCTCATCTGAGGAAATTATGTGGCAGATAACTTTGTACATCTCCGGTTCTGCAAAGGTTCCAATATTTGTCCAAAGTTTACACCAGCCTTTAAAAACAAAGATTTATGGTTTTATTTTTTTTTCCAAAACTGAAAACAGAATTTGTATGAATTGGGTAGGGGAAAAACCTTTCCATGAACACTAAAATTTATTTTCCTCTGTGATTTTATTTCCAAATTTCTGTTTTCTCAGTTATATTTAATTTTTTTAAAAACAATACCTTAATTACTTACTTTAATCAAAGAAGAGGTTACACTAGAAATATAACTCTGCCCAATTCATAAGCAAATGTTACTAACCACAGTGAAGCAAGATGACCTAGTTTGTATTGTAATTTCATAGCATAAGCTTCACTGTTTTATACTTGAGATGTGACTTTAGAGTTGACTTCACAATCAGTTAATATCCATTCAGCCTAATGGACATGGTCAGCTTTAGTACATCAGGCAGATGTACAGCAGAGTTTGCATCTATCTATCAGAAATAATCAGATCCGGTTTATGAAAATTTGGAGTTATTATTTTTTTAATAAATCCTATATATCAGTTATAGGAAAAAATATGACCAAACATCTAAATACACACAAAAAACCTCTCACAATAAATAAATCATTAAACTTAAAGAGAAAAGTAATAAATGTGCTTGGAGTTACACATGCTAAGATGCAGCGCAGCAAGAAGACATAAATATCAGCTATTAGTTATACCATATTAATGATTTCACAGTGGACAATTTCAACTTTTTGCTTTTTTATTTAATTAACTAATCCTCATATGAAAATCCCATTGAAATTAACTGGAGCGGCAAAATATCTAGTAATAGTAATAGTAGTAAAGTTGGAAGGGACCTTGGAGGTCATCTAGTCCAACCCCCTGCTCAGGCAGGAAACCCTACACCATTTTGGACAAATGGCTGTCCAGTCTCTTCTTAAAAACTTCCAGTGTTGGAGCATTTACTGCTTCTGGAGGCAGGCTGTTCCACTGATTAATTGTTCTCACTGTCAGGAAGTTTCTCCTTAGTTCTAGGTTGCTTCTCTTCTTGATTAGTTTCCACCTGTAGTTCCCTTTCATTTCAGTTGGTTTAATATAAAAGATTTGTCATGGAATTATGCCAAAATCTTTTATTTCATAATTGCGTCTTTTCCGTGAATGTGGTTTTTTTCTCTAGATAATAAATTTTCATAAAGAAGAAGAAAGGAGCACAAAATGAGAGAGTTAATTAAAATTAATATTCTGGTAGTCTTTGGTAAATAATGCAACCAATAATTTAAAACACTCGTGTTGTCTTTTTTCTGAAATGAACTTTGACTAAAAAGTTTAAGTTCTATAAATTGAATGTATCTTGTTACGGATTAATTGATGAACAGAAGTCAGCAAGAAAAGGAAGATGAAATATAAAAGACCAGCTTACAAATTATGAGTTCTATGTAACTATTACATCATCAAACTCATTATCAAACTTAATATTTTTGTATGTCTATACACTATATCAAAGTACATATAGATGTGGAAGTAGTGAGCATTCATATACAACATATCTCTATAGGAATGGAAACTACATTCTTTCAAAGGATGAACTAAAAAATTGAATATCAAATATCATGAATTGACACCTCCAAATGGGTTTAGTGATTTTAAAAACAACATATTTCAATATAAAAAATTTTTAGGAAGGGTTTTATTTTAACAAACATGGTAGTTTACTTATCCCAAAAATGTGAGAATCTGGCATTCATAATCATTTAAATATGTCCCCTGATATACCTCAGAATTGTTTGGGTTTGTGATGGATGATGTCCTCTGCATTTAAAGACATTTTTTCAGTACAATACCAATGAAAATTATAATATGCATTGTGTCTCTGGAGACTCCCACCTATAGGTCTCAGTTACAATGGAACTGGAAAAAGCTTGAAAAAGTTTTTGATCACTTTAGATAGATTGGACTCAGATTGATTATAAATAGGGGATGGAGCTATTTTGCCTAATGGAAGATCTCCCAATTCATCTAAAGAAAATGCACCAATAACCCACACATGATTACAAATGCATATAAATACCTGTGAATAAACATTGATTCCGAGGTGCTATTTTTCACAGAGCAGGTTTTGACATTCTTTACATGTATCTTATGATTTCTATAGTTATTTTTAAGCTTAAAGAATCAAAATTAGTTCAGAACTTTTTTTTTGCCATACAAGGCAGTGCAAAGCATGAGAAGGCCTCAAGTGTTCCATAAAACTGCTGATATGTTGATTGTTAATAATTTTATCTTCCCAAAGAACCATTTTTATTGATTTTGTAGTTACATTAGGCTGCTTGGCCTACAGTAGAAAAGTGCCTCTAGTACAGTGTTTCTTAAGCACACTGGCTGGGAAATTGTGGGAGTTGAAGTCCATACATCTTAAATGTGTGGACTTAGCCAAAGTTGTGAAACATGACCCTAAAACTTTTATTTCATTCTTCTTTGTAACATATAACTCTTAGATACTGTCCATTAAGTAGAGTTGGTTTTTAGGTGAGATTTCATTCAGCATGGTTTCAACTTTAAGTAATGCACATTATTTATATGTGGACAGTAAAAGCTAAATATATGTGAGCATTAACTATTGAAGAGTATTAGAATTAATTCTACTCTTTAGAAACATCGATACTAACAAATGTGCTCATTTAGCTGGATTATGCCCATTATGAGGAAAATTAGGAAATCAGTGAGATGGAAAGAGGCAGTTTTTATTTTTCTCCCCTGCATTGTTATGAGAAATCGTATTTTTAGGCTTCATTTACACAGCTGAAACATTTGAAGGACCACAACCTTGAGCAAGACTGAAGTTAGGTCAAAATCCAATATTTGGATTCATTGAAATCACTGAAATTGCAAAAGGTATGTTTTGAAATCAAAATCATGCTTGAACTTGCCTTATTTTAAAGCTGATTTGTGTTTTGTTCTGCTCTGTTTGTATCTTCCTGCAAGTTTGCAAACTTTTAACTTGTCAGCGTTCAACTTGTATCATTTAATTTGCAGCAGTGTTCTGTTCTTGCAAAAACCCTTGCTTTGGCCTGGTGCAGTTTCCCATAACCTCATGTCTGTATTAAAACTATAATTTGCAGAATATTCAACCATCATCACTCTGAAAGGTTGGGAGTTCTGCAGACTATAAGATCAATACAGCTGCAGAGCTCTGGAGGTTGGAAAAGCTGTGTAATGGGTCAATTTTGATATATTTCTCTGTTCTGTTCTAAATTCTCATGCAGGTCAGCAAATTTTAATGAAGAAATAAGAACATATACACAATTCAATCAGAGCAAAACCAAATGACAAAGTACTTTTGGGTGATCTGGAAGTAGAAGGGAGAAAGGGCAGCCTTTAGATTCCTAGCCTCCAGCTAAAACTGGCCATTAAGTACAATTGACATCACAAGTGATGCTGGACATTTTCCTGCTTATGTGACCCTTATGTAGAATGGAATCTTGTGTGAATTCTGAGGAACAGAAGACGGACTTTTCTTTTATATGTGTTCAGCATACCTTTGCAGATGATACAGCACTTTGCAAGTGCTTATAGAAATAAATAGAGTGGAGGAATCATGGGGGTTCAGAGAGAGGAAAAGGGACAAATAATAAAATGTGCACTGCTTTGGACTTTGTCATATTACTGTGACCTCAGCAGCTCTTGCCACCTTTTTAAAGCTTTCTTCTGTCTAGTCAGAGAATGTCCACTGTAGAATGAACTTATAAACCAATGCATTCAGGAGAAGCATCACAGCTGCCGTGACAAATTGGTGTGTGGAATAGCAGTGACAACTTCTGTGTGCTTCCCACTCAAAAAACAAAAGAATCCTCTAGGAAAAGGGGTACCGGTTTCCAAAACTGCATCTGATGACCACCTGATGAAGTTCCCTGTGTTCCTTAGAATTCCACGTCTGGAGGGTGATTTTGCCTTTTCAGGAGAAAAAAAAAAGTTAGACTTGGGAGAGGACCGCTAGAATAGCAAATGGTTGAATACAGGTAGTCCTTGACTTACAGCAGTTCATTTAGTGACCGTTCGAAGTTACAAAGGCATTGAAAAAAGTGATTTATGACTGTTTTTCACACTTACAACCATTGCAGTATTCCCGTGGTCATGTGATCAAAATTCTTGGCCACTGGCAACTGACTCACATTTATGACGGTTGCAGTGTTCTGGGGTCATGTGATCACCTTTTGTCATCTTCTGACAAGCAAAATCAATGGGGAAGCCAAGTTCACTTAGCAACTGTGTTATTAACTAAACAACTGCAGCGATTCACTTAACAACTGTGGCAAGAAAGGTTGTAAAATGGACAAAACTTACTTAACAAATGTTTCACTTAACAACAGAAATTTTGGGCTCAATTGTGGTCGTAAGTAGAGGACTACCTGTATCACAATTTATTTGCCTAAAGCAGAGGAAGGAGTTCCATTGCCTTCATTTAATAATGTAAAGATAATTGGGGCTTCATTGAAATTCAAAATTTATCTTGAAAAGAAACCATTTTTGGGAACATGACACAAGAGTGTTCAAGCTGTTAATCAGACACACTCATTCCATGATTTTAAGCCTCGGCATTGATTAGAAACTAAAAGCAAAGCACTTTCAGATACCAATTATCAAGCTTATAAGCGGAATTTCAAAACAAAACAAAAGGTATAATCCATGAAAGAGGTGCCATATTTTAAAATGCCTAACCATTGCTAGACTTCAAGAAATGTGCTTTTTTAAAAAATTCATGGCTGTTTCAGATATTGACAGACTGTTCTATCAAATTATTTTGTATTTTTTGTAGGACTGGGAGACAGAAACTCATGACTGGTATTGTTTTGAATGCCATAAGCCTGGAGAGGTGTTGACATGTGACCTGTGTTTTCGGGTGTATCATTCCAAGTGTTTATCTGATGAGTTCAGGCTTAGAGACAGCAGTAGCCACTGGCAATGCCCAGTTTGCAGGGTGAGTACCTCTGAGCTTTCATGTTTTGAATAGAGGCTTGGTATTTGTTATTTATAAGAGATTTCTGGTGAGGAGAAACATCCAGCTTTGCCTACTGTAAGGACAGTCCCCATGTTCAATGTAGAAGCAGACATCTGGGTGTGTCTGGGCAAAATTAGTGAAATAAAAACATGCTTCCCATAATCCTTGCTGTTGAGTCCTCGGTTAATGGCAATGACGGCGCAAGACATTCTGTGGTTTCAGGAACTCTTTATTGGTCTTCAGTAGCCCCGTTACAACTCTGAGCAGAACAAACCTCTCAGCCTCTCTTAAAGATGATCTCCGGGCCAAAAAGCAACATTTAGGCGCGCGAGCGCTGCGCCAGCCAGTCTGGTCCCAGGCAGCTTGCAACTGCCCGGGACCATTGCAACGTCCCGAGCCTGCCTTTGCAGGCTCAGGACACAACACCCCTTCCCCCCCTGGCTATGACTACATGAATAATTACACGCGACCTCAACACGAGCGTGGTGTGTCCACCCTTGCTCAATGGTACCATGCTATTGTTCTGGAGATTAATTCCTCAGTGTCCCCTTTTCCGGTTTCCACAGAAACACCCTCTTACTGTTTCTGCTTGGCCAGCAGAGTTATAAAATCTTCAAGATATTTGGGAAACCTCTTATCGCTCTGTGATCTTTGTAGGCTCTTATAATTCCCAGGTACACCTTGTCCAGAGGAGGCTATAGGTTCACCCCCTTTCTCAGACCCTGGTGGCCCCCATGGACCATGCCCCGTTGCCTGGCCTGCTTACTTGACCACCGGGTTCGTCAGACCAGGACTTTGTTCTCTCCCTAACCTGGTTGACCTGCCTAGTTGCAGGCGTTCTGGCCCCTCTAGAAGGCTGCCACTGTTGGGCAACTCTGAAGAGCCTCTCAAGCCCACACTGGACCTAGCATGAGGCTGCCTTCCTCCACTCCCCAGTTCCATAGTAGGACTGTCTGTAATTTCAGTACTATTGCCCCCTCCGTTGAATGAGAGGGTTCAGGATCTGGATTTGGCCCTTCTATCACTTCCCTGTGGAAGTGTCCTTTTCTGGGGACGGTGGCGATGTTGGGCCAATTGCGTTGATTGTGTGCCAGCTCTCTTGCAATGTTTGGGTTATTAGGATGCTCCCGGTTATTCTCCCTGACTGGAGTGCTGAAAGGTGTAAGTGTGTAATGATTATGCCCCCGGGGTGACTCCCTGGCTGGAGTATGCACTGTAGCATGTGTGCTAGCTGGTTCCCCTGAATTCCTGTTTGGAACACTCGCGGAATCTTGTGATAGGCCGTCTGTGGCCTCTCTGTTGGTGCCTGGCTGCTGCCAACACCCTTCCCTTTGCCCATAGGGGTCCCCCTCGCCCCTGGAAAAGAACCAGGAGTCTCTGAAGGTAAGTCCAGTCTTGTACGCAGCTGGTCGATATGCCGTCGCAGGATACGACCGTCATCCAAGGAGACCTCGTAGGACAAAGGACCTGTAACCTTGCAAACTAGAGCAGGAACCCACAAGTGACCTGGCCCGTAATTACGGGTCCATACTGGGGCACCCACTTGCAATTGCCTCGGTGCCCTGGGTTGTGTACCCCTAGGAGGCAGTCTGTCCAGGTGTAACTGGTCAAGTTTAGTAGTCAGTTTGCGCCCCCAGCGAACTTCAGCTGGGCTTCTCCCCGTAGAAGTGGAAGGTGTAGTGCGGTAAGCAAGGAGAAAATCAGCCAATCTGTGATGCCAGTCCGCATAGGTCAGTTTCTTTAAAGCATCCTTGGTGATGCGGACCATCCGTTCAGCCATCCCATTGGTGGAAGGGTGGAAGGGCGCAGAGGTGGCGTGACAAATCATGTTGGCCTGTAAGAAAGCTTGGAATTCGGAAGAAGTGAATTGAGGGCCATTGTCACACACCAAAACATCCGGAAGCCCATGTGCAGCAAAACCCCCCCTCAGTACTTGGATAGTTTTTGCAGTGGTGGTGGAAGAGACAGGTACAACCTCAAGCCATTTTGAATAGCTATCAACCAGGACCAAGAAGAATTGACCCTGAAAGGGCCCAGCATAATCGATGTGCACCCTAGACCATGGAGACTGTGTTTCTTCCCATCTATGCACAGGAGCCTGAGGCATTTCTGGGCGTGACCGCTGACAAAGGTGGCAAGCGTGCACCTTAGCCTCAATTTCCTTGTCTAACCCAGGCCACTACAAATGGCTGCGCACAAGCGCCTTCATTCGTACAATGCCAGGATGACCCTCGTGAAGGGAACCTAAGACTCTAGACCTCATTGAGGTAGGAATGACAACTCTGCTGCCCCCAGCAGACAACCCTGAAAAGTGGATAACTCGTTCCTTTTCAGCCAGAAACTCTGAAACTCAGTGCCTGGACAACTCTCTGGCCATCCAGACAAAACCCAGGATAAGACACAAGAGAGTGTGAGATCTGTGGCTGATTCAGCAGCCACATCCCTGGCGTTTAGAGGTGATTCAGGCAGTGCCTGAATTGAAAGGATGTTGATTGCCGGGGCAGGATCAGCCTCTACTACTTGTAAGGGTAATCTACTGAGGCCATCAGCTTGGCCCATTTCTTTGCCAAGTTTGTGAATTAAAGAAAAGTCATAGGCTGACAGGAATATTGACCATCTGAGCATCCTGGGGGAGATGATGTGGGGGGGTCTGTTTGTTAGTGGTAAACAACCTCAACAAAGGCTTATGGTCAGTGTGGACCGTGAAATGTCTGCCATATAAAAAATCATGGAATTTTTTAATTCCAGCAACAACAGCTAAGGCCTCCCTATCTATCTGGGCGTAGTTTCTTTCAGCAGCAGACAAGGTTCTGGAGTAATATGCAACAGGAACCTGAGTTCCATCTGGTCTGAGGTGGCTGAGTACTGCTCCTACTCCATAAGGAGAAGCATCACAAGCGATGCACACAGGAAGAGTTTCATTAAAATGTGCAAGCACATTGTTGTATGTTAGCAAGGCCTTAAACTCATTGAAGCTTGCTTCATGTGCTTGTGACCATTGCCACACTGCCTGTTTGTCCAGAAGCCTATGAAGTGGTTCAGCTACATTAGCCTTATTAGGAATGAATGAATTATAAAAATTCAAGAGGCCCAGAAAAACTTGTAGTTCAGCTTTGGACTTAGGCCTAGGAGCTTGCATGATAGCTTTTAGCTTGGACTCAGCAGGATGAATCCCATTGGCATCAATTTTGAATCCTAGAAAATCTGTAGAAGGCACCCCAATTTTACATTTGTCCTTTTTAAGCTTGAGGCCTGTTTTCCAGAACCGCAGCAGGACAGCCCTCAATCTCTCAGCTAAATTTTGGGTGGAGTCTCCTGCAATTAAGACATCATCAAAATAGGGGCAAACCCCTGGTATACCCCTCAAGTATTTTCCATTACACTTTGGAAAATTCCAGGAGCCACGTTTACTCCAAATTGTAGTCTCTTGACTTTGAATGCTCCCCTATGAGTTACAATGGTTTGTGCTACAGCAGCAGCTTCATCAACAGGTAACTGTTGATAAGCCTGTGCTAAGTCAAGCTTTGCAAAAACACGCCCCCCCTTGAGGGAGGCCAGAACATGGCTGACTACAGGTACAGGATAGGTATGTTGTTGCAATGCCTTATTTAGAGTGCATTTGTAATCTGCACAGATGCGGATGTCCCCATTAGCCTTAAGAGGCGTGACTATGGGAGTTTCCCAAGGACTGGAGTCAACAGGTTCTAAGACTCCTTGCTGAATCAATTTGTCCAATTCAGCATCAATTTTCCCTTTTAAAGCAAAAGGTACCCTTCTTGCTTTTACTCTGATAGGAGTGACAGTGGGGTCCAATTTCAAGGACACTGGGGGCCCTTTGTATGTGCCCAGCTGTGGGCTGAAAACATCTGCAAATTCTTTGCAGACTTCCTGTAGATCTACTGTTTGCAAGTTATTGAGCCCTGTAACTTGTATTCCCAAGGCCTCAAACCAATCGAGTCCTATGAGACTCGTGCGCTCACCCCCCACTATCAATACATCTAATGGATCTTCAAAATCCTTATACTGTACGTTAAGGGTGGCCTCCCCCTTAACACACACTTTGGAGTTTTGAAAGTCTGTTAGCACTATATTAGATGGCCTAAGCTTGGCCTGAAAACCACTACCAGAACAAATCTTTCTGAATGTGTGAATGGAAATGATTGAAAGTGAAGACCCAGTGTCTAGTTCCATGACCAATGGAACCCCTTGCAACTTCACCTTAAGTGACAGTTTCTTTTTGAGTGGCTTGTGTGTACCTGTCCTATAAATGCTTCTTCATGAAGCACAGAAACCCACTCTGTTTTGGCTGGGGACCCTGGTACCTTTCAGGCGCAATTCTTCTCGGGGTTGTACCTTCTGACGGCCCAGACACACAGCTGCTATGTGGCCTTGCTTCCCACATGCTCTACAGATTGCAGAACGGAACTTGCAGTTGGTCCTCTTGTGGCAACCTCCACACCCGAAGCACTTGGGTACAGCTGAAGACTTTTCTTTGCCTTCCTTCTGCTTCTCTTCTTTGGTTGGGTAGAAATGATCTACTTCTTCATCAGGCTCCTCTTCCGAGCTTCCTTGGAATCCCTCATGGTGCACGAAAACAGCTTCTGGAGTACTTCTGATAGGCCTCATATTCTTGATTGCCCCACTTGCTGCCTCTTCTGCAGTAACCTCTCTCAAGGCATCTTGGAACAATATGTCCTCTTTAGCAAAAAGTCTTTGCTGCACATCTCTGTTTCTCAGCCCACATACAAATCTGTCTCTCAGCCTTTCCTCTAAGTCTTTAAACTCACAATGCTTAGCTGCTCTTCTTAATGCAGCAATGTACTCTTTAGCTGATTTACCAGCCCGTTGATCCCTCTGTTCAAAAGTATGTCTCCATGCAATAACAGACAACTTGGGCTGAAAATGCTCTTTTAATAATTTCTTTAAATCTGTGTAGGTAACAGATTCAAGAGGTGCAGGGGCTACTAAATTTTCAGCAA